GAATGGAACCAGAGACAATCCATGTTTTGTATGGTCTAAAGCTTATAAAGTTAGGGGGTTCATTTCATAAACAAATATAAGTTAAATTAAAAAGTGAATATTCTTCAAATGAGAAAGAAAATATCAACCAGTTGCAAAATTTAAAAGCTAACTAATACCACATATTGCAAAAGATTCATATAGATTAATTATTAAGTGTTTACATATATGGCAGCAATTCTACAAAACTCAATTTCTGTGGAAAGATAATTCAGACTTTTGTTGAACATGGTTGAACAAAAATTATTATATTTTCATTTTGGTTGTGGTTGGGATGCATACAATAGAAGCATGAATGCACAGCCATACTTGATATTTGTGTCCTAAAAACACAGGAATTTAAATAAATTCTCTTGTACACGATTCTATCAAGAAAACCTAGTTGGGCCAAAACTGGTTTGGCTCAGTGGATAGAGCGTTGGCCTGCGGACTGAAAGGTCCCAGGTTCGATTCCAGTCAAGGGTATGTACCTTGGTTGCGGGCACATCCCCAGTGGGGGGTGCGGGAAGCAGCTGATGGATGATTCTCTTTCATTGATGTTTCTAACTCTCCATCTCTCTCTCCTCCTCTCTGTAAAAAAATCAATAAAATATATTTAAAAAAAGAAAAGGAAAAAGAAAACCTAGTTGGGACCGGGAAGGGTGCGGGAATGCTCCCCTCAGGACCTCAGTTTTCCAACCATGAGCTGAAGGTGGTGGCCTAGTGTCAAAGAGTACTTCTAAATTTGAGAAGATAAGGCCCTACCCAATCTGATAAGCACCTGGGGCTTTTCCAACCCATTGGTGCTTCTCAATGCTTGCTTGGGATTGAAGTACATGAGTGGCTGCAACAAAATCATCCGTCCTAGGGGCTCATGAACCAGAGAGGTCCTTGGGAATAGCCAGAGTGTGCCCTGGAGCTGAGGGCATCTGCTCATTTGCTCAGAATGAGCCCAGAGCCCTTATGATGAGCAAAGGGAGCTCCGTGCCCTAAAGAAACCTCAGTGAGAGACACTGCATCTCTCTGTTGTCAACTGTTTGTTCACTTCTCTGCCCATTAGAACCTAGGGAACACCTCGAGTGGAACCTTTTGGTGTTGTTCATGGTGCCATGCAGACCTGAGATCCCTGAGCTCTCTTTATTCTCACCTCAAAACTTCCTGCAGAGCCAGTAATGCCCACAGGAAGCTGTGGATGGCTTGAGAATTCAGGAAATGTCCAAGCTGAGGATATTAGAGAGCTCCACCAGCCCAAATAACCCTCCTTATGTTTGTTAAATTTCTTTATTGATTGAAGTATTACATATGTATCCTCATCCCTCCATTTACCCCCAACCACTCATGCCCTCACCCCCCTGGTGTTCATGTCCATTGGTTAGGCTTATATTCATGCATACAAGTCCTTTGGATGATCTCTCCTCCTTTCACCCACCCTTCCCTAACTTCCCTCTGAGGTCTGGCAGTCTGATCGATGCTTTTCTGCCTCTGGATCTGTCCCTGTCCATCAGTTTATGTTGTTTATTATGTTCCACAAATGAGTGAGATCATGTGGTATTTGTCTTTCTCTGACTGGCTTATTTCACTTAGCATAATTCTCTCCAGTTCCAGCCATACTGTTGCAAATGGTAAGAACTCCTTTTTTTTAACTGCAGCATAGTATGCCATTGTATAGATGTTCCAGTTTTTTAATCCACTCATTTGCTGATGGGCACTTAGGCTGTTTCCAAATCTTAGCTACGGTAAATTTTGCTGCTATGAACATATGGGTGCATACATCCTTTGTGATTCGTGTTTCTAGTTTCATAGGATAATCCTCCTTATTGTTTTTTACACATGTACAAATGGAAGCTTCTAGTAGGAAATAGACATCCAAGATCACACAGCAAATCAATAGCAAAACTGGAGCTAAAATCCAGGTTTGAGTGTAACAGGTGCTGCCAGATCCCTCAGCCTCGTTGGAAATTAGGGTGGATAAAATGGCTACTTGTCACTTTGTTGTTTTCATGTTCAGCAGCTCTCTCTTTTTTTAATATTCAGCAGCTCTCTGTGAAATATGCAAAACTATAAAACCAGTGTCAGGGTTTTTGATAAGCACACAAGATGAGTTATGTAAAGCGTGCATACCATAATGTCTTGGATGTTAATGTTCCATAAACAATAAAGATTAGTATTATTATTAGAACAAACAGTTTTAAAATAAACTGTTCACTGAGGGAAACTCCAGTTTGACCCCTTTTCTGGGGTCAAACTGGAGCTTCCTACAGTGAACAGTTTTTATGTCCGATGAATAAAGCTCCAGGCTCCTGGGCTCATAAACCCTTTCTCCTCCTTTATTTATATCCAAGCTATTTGGGATAGAGTGCTAATAATTACCTTCTGCTAAAAATTCAACTTGGATTTCTGAAGATATAAATTAACTCTACTCTTAAAGTAATCAACCTTATTTTGTCCCCTACACGTTTATTTTTTTATATAAATAAGGTAAAAATAGAGAAATAAACTTTCTTAGCATGTGTACGCTTATAATAAATATATTTGTTACATGTTTAAGCAAGTTTTCTCTCTAAATCCCTGTTCCCCTGTCCTGTGAGATGAAGATGATAATAACATCTATTCCAAGGATTTTTTTAGACGAGTGTAATGAGACAAGGCAGAAACTCCTCTGACAGATTGTTGGTGTTGAAGTGATGTCCGTTTCCTTCTAGAAAAGATAAAGGTTTTGTGGAGTTTAGAATCTGACTGAAGAAATTTTGTTCTTTCCTAATCCCACCCACATTTACTCCCCCACCTCTACACCACCCACATCAATGGATCTACACCACCCAAATCAATGGATCTCAATCAAAAGTAATTTCATTCCTTACACACATAGATGGTTGATATAGGGTAAGACTCCTATGATGAGTACAACTGCAAGACAACTAACAAGAGCTTCCTGCTATTTTCTCAAATGTGCTTTTAATAAACCTTACACCTGTCCTCCATATTCTGGAACGTTGGGAACCTTACCACCCAAGTCACCTGAGGAAGAGCCAAGTCCCTGAGTTGAAGCCAAAGATCCCCCAGGGCCACCCAGGTACAGAGTGGTTTTCAAAGGTCAGTACCTCCCATACCACCCACAAGGCCTGTTCAGCCAAGTAAGTACAACAAATACATCAAATAAGTACAGGCCCATCTCATCAAGCACTGCCCTCACTGCATGGAGTCCTTATCACACTGCTCATATTGAAATGTTTTTATAATTAAAAAATATTTAGACCCATAACTCCTCTGCAAGGTTTTCTAACATTGGCACCATTGATGTTTGGGGGCAGATCATTCTTTGTGGTGGGGTGATCCTGTGCATTGTAGGATGGTTAGTTAGCAGCATCACTGGCCTCTGCCAGTAGGCACCCCATTCCCCAAGTTGTGACAACCAAAAATGCCTCTAGACATGGCCACGTGTCCCTGGGGGTAGAACTGCCTCCTCCCCAGATGAAAATGGCTCTCCTGAATTGCGTTTTAAAAGGTCAGTTTTCTCTTCCTGGTCGGCTGCTCTAGAAGAGGAGCACTGTGGGAGCTCTCATCCATGAGCACCTACGCGCAGTCCTGCCCTCACTCTATTCGAATGGCAAATGCTAGTCTGTTCGCTCCCTGGGGACCTCCTGCTGCCATTATTTTGGTTTCTGACTAACAGATTTGATAATCCAAGAGAGCTAAAGAAAGAGACAGGAATAATCCTAGCAGACCCACTAAAGTGCAAAAAAAGATGTATTACCAAGATGTTGAAATGTTAGAGGAGTTAGAGGAGTCTTTAAGAAAATAAAGGCAGAGAAAGCAGTGAAGGTGAGCAGGCCATGAGAAGATTGACCAATTATTGTATGAACTATAGTTTGGAGAAGCAATGTCCAAGGAATGAGTACCATCATGGCTGCAGGGGATTTAAAGAGAAAAAGGAAGAGTTACCACTAATGCGCAAAGATGGGCAACACATTTCTATAGATAACAAGTATGGTTCTAATCCAGCTTGCACTCCCATTTCCAAAAAGTTCATCATACACGTCAGCAAATGGCATGTGTCTGTGTGTGCATTTATAATGTATGAAGCATTTGTATATTCATTGAACACTTGTGCAGTTCTGGGAAGTATGCTAAATCAGCATCATTGATCTCAATGCATAGATGATAAACTGAGGCTCAGAGAGATCACATGACTTTCCCAAGGTCAAGAGCACCTTAGACTTAATATCCCAGACTCACTATATCCCACCATGCCAGCTTTGCCTTTAAAAAAAAAAAATCAGATCTGTAGAGGATCTGGGAAAGGAAGTGGGTAGGAATGTGCTGGTTCCTGGCAATTGAGGTGTGTCTGTAGACAGATGATTCTCTAAACCAGACAAAGTTGGTCCCTTCTACACAACAATGTTGCTCTCATAATTCCCTGGGAGACTTCAGATGGGAGGGAGGATGCATACAGTGGGAACTCAATAAGTGTTTGATGAATGAATGGATAATACAAGGGCACTGGAGCTAGACAGACGAGGACCCCAATCCTGGCTTTGAATCTCATTATCCATGTGACAATGGTTAATGTACTTCCATGTCTCTTCATGTGCAAAATGTGGGGGGGGGGGGGGTGGTGGTGGTTAAGTCTTGTAGGAATCCTGTGTGGGTTCAAGGGAGGTGATATGTGAATAGTAGTTTATACGGTGCTTGGGAAGGTAAATGTACTCATTAAATGGTACCTATTGTTTTATTATTGTTACAGCTTCTTCCACCCTGAAGTGTAATAAAGAGGCTTTGGATAAAGGCCACAGATCAGATAAGGTCAAAGAACAGAGTCAGAGATGTGCTTTGTCTGGACACTCTGTTCCAGAGGTAGCCCAAACTCATGATTAACAAGAGTTAGGGGTAAATGAGCTGAATATGCAGCCAGAATTCTCCCCATTGGTCCCCTTTCTCCCTAAAATGCCAGCCCCAGGCTGGGCCACTGGCTGGGTGGCACCATGCGGCTCCAGATCTCTCTTCCATTTCTTCTGTTTCTCACCTTCAGCAAAGAGTTTCGATCGGAAGCAGGAACAGGTAGGTATGGAAGTGGGAGCTCCAAGAATAGACTGGAAATAGAGAAGGGAGAGTGACAGTACAACGTCTGTTATTTATCTCATGCTGCAGTCAATTCAATTCACTTCATCAAATATACATGCTGGGTGCATGCGGTGTGCCAGGTACTGTGCCAGGTGGTCAGGCTAACGTCATGAGTGAAGCAGACATCCTGCTTTTGTGGAATTCATATTCCAATGGGACAGAGACAAACAATACATAATACACATAATAGATGGTAAACGTGCTGTAGAAAAGAGAAAAACTAGAGCTGATTAGAGGATGAGATCCCTGCTCTCCAGAGTTCTCTTGGTCAAGGAAAGGAAAGAATGATTGAGAGCAGCTGCTACTTATTGGGGCTTTTCTATTGATCAATGCTTTCCATAGGTTATCTCTAAGCCTTCGGTAAGTCTAAAGTGTGAATAGTATACCCCATTTTACATGAAGAAAACTGAGTGCCAAAGGTATAGGTCATTTGTCTAAGATCACACAGCTAGAAATTTGAATAAACTTTGCACCCTGCTCTCAGATTCCAAGTCAGTCCTTTCCTATAGATATCTCTTCTGGAATGATGATGAGACAGGAGGTGGAAGTCTGAGAGAGCTTACTCATCAAACCCTAGAAAATCAGACCTGAAAGGATGCTCAGAGATGATGGAGTTCGACCCCCTAATTTTACAAATGAAGCGGTGAAGATCTGGAGAAGTTAAATGATACAGTTATCCCACAGTAGTAAGAGGATTTGAATCCACTAGAACAGGATTCTCAAGTCTGGGGCTTTTAGCACAGCAGTTTACTTCCAGAAATGGAAAGCCTCAGTGTCTGGACGGACGGACAGGGCCATTGCTGTGCGGGCCAGATGAGCAGGATGGGAAGAGGTACAGAGCTCGGTTGCTGGGTAGAGAGCCTCACAGTTATGCCCATGGCCATCCTAGCCCCTGGCATATGAGCCAACAAGGGAAAGGTGATACATTTTGCCTCTCTCAACCACTTTCTCTCTTTAGGCCAATCAAGTCCCCAACCTAGTGCCTCCCGAGAAGATTGCAAACTTCCAATGGAAAAGGGCCCTTGCCGAGCCAAACTCCCACGGTGGTATTACAACTCATCGATACCCGGATGTACGCTGTTTCACTTTGGAGGCTGCGAAGGCAACAGGAACAACTTTCAGAGGAGAGATGCATGTGATAAAGTCTGCAAGAACGTCTAATTTCCACCTAAGAGCCCGGTGCTCCCTGGAGTCAGGGTTGCTCTATGGCAACGACAGGTGTTTCTGTGAACACGAGATGCATTTCTCCACACCACCTTTTATCCTTGTTGTGTTCTTAAAACTGCTCACTTCTGTGCCTGGACCTCTATAAATAAGCATATGGTCAGCCAGAAGTGGGCAGGTGAACAAGGGGGCAGAGGCAGGTGATGATGCCAGAGATGTCACCAGAGGATGGAGGAGGGCCCAAATGAACACTGAAGCTATGTGGCCAGGAGCACCCTGCCTCCCACCCACCCAGCCCCCGGGGCTCCTTACAGCGACAGTGCAGTGGGCACACCAGGGCAGGCTGCTTGGTGGGAAGTGCAGTGAACTTGCCTCAGGGACTCCTGCTTGCCAAGCCCAGGTGGTAGGATGATGCAGGGTACTCCAAAGCCTAATGTCACAAGCCTTTCCTCTAATGCGTTCAGCCTAGGGGTCCTAGAGGCTGCGGACAAGTCCTGGCCACCATGCCCCAGGTGTGCCCTGAAGGGACCTCTGGTAATACAGCCACATCGCCACAGTCACAGATGCACAGAGGGCCCTGGAGCCTGCAGAGACCGTCCTGCTTCCCAATCCAGGGAATCTGTTCCTTCCCAGCTGAGGGAAGCGCCCAGGCCTGGATATGACCTGAGAAATGGGAACGATGTGCTGGGCTGGCTCCCAGTGGGCAGGGGCTGGGTGGTGGCAGGGTGCCTCTTACTTTCCTGCAGTAATGAGAACTGGCCAGCAGAGGGCGACAGCCTATGCCGCCTCCCAAGGCAGGCAGCTGGGCTGGGCGGAAACACACCTGGTTCCCCTTCAGGAGGGTGAGGGGGAGGCTGAAGGATGGCTGTGGGGCCAGGTGGGCATCCAGCTGCCCTGGGAGGCCTGTTCTGCCTGACACCCTGCAGACAGGTCCCCTCTGGAGGCCGCAAGGCTCAGGCTGAGCCCTCCAGGAGCTGGATGTGCCAGCACAGACTGGGTGTTGTCATATATCCTAGAGAGGGGGTGGGGTGGGAGAGGGGGCAGAGTGCCCACGTTGTGTCTGCACCCCTCTGCCCTAGGGGTCAACCCCACCCCCACCAGTCTGGTTTGAGGACCCCAAGGCTGCAGGCAGGACCTGGGGAACTATGGCCTGCTGGGGCCCGGGCTCAGCGGGTCCCTGGAGCTGCAGGGGAGCGCTGAGGGTGCCTGTGCTGAATGGGGGCACAGGGGATGAGAGATGCTGCCACGGAGGTGGGGTGGCATGGGAGACTCAGACCTAGAGGCGCGGGGCAGAGCCACGTCTCATAGAGCGAAATGCGGGAAGTCTGCTGCTTTGCGGACCCCTGTCTGCTGGGGGTGGAGGAGGGGGATGAAGGGAAGGGTGAAACCCATCAGAGTCAATGGCCACAGGGTGAAGGGCAGCTCACCCAGAGGTCACGGGTCAAGGAGACGGAGGCTCTGGGCAGCGGAGGGTTCCATTTTCAGCTCTGTCCCTTTACCGCTGTGTACCCTGGAAGGAAGAAGCCCAGTCACTCGCCCTCCATGTGCTGCAGCAGCAACACCTGTACCCTGGGCACGTGACCAGGGGGCGGGGCCAGGTGGAGGGTGTGTGTGTGTGTGTGTGTGTGTGTACGTGCTTAAGGGGTTTGGCCACGTGGACAGCCTGGTGCGCACGTGATCAGGGGCAGAGCCACGTGGCAGCTGGGAGTGTGCATGTGATCAGGGGCATGGCCACGTGGCAGCTGGGAGTGTGCATGTGATCAGGGACATGGCCACGTGGACAGCTGGGAGTGCCCATATGAACAGGAGGTGGGGCCACTTGATCACCCCAGAAGTGCACACGTGAACAGGGAGCGGGGTTATGAACACGGAGGAGGGGGCACCTGATCATGCAGGAGTAGTCACGTGGGGAGGGAGGAGAGGCCACGTGAAGACTAGGGGAGATGGAAGGGATGGGGCCAGGACCAAAGGAGCACCAGGAGCCCCCAGGAGCCGACCAGGCAGGAAGGACCCTGCCCTGGAGCCCTCCGGGAGCACAGCCCCAGAAGCCTTCATTTCAGATTTTGGCACCCAGACGGGGACGGCACTTGTTCTTGTTTGTTCAGGCCGGTCTGATGTCATCGGAGCAGCAGCCTCAGGAAATAGACCCGCCTTTAGGGGCTCTGACCGGGTCCTTGGAACAGCTGAGCCCTGTGCACACTGGCAAGAGAGACCCCCCAACCCCTCAGACCGCTCACTGCAGGGCTCACAGGGAGGTCCTTTCCTGTGTCTGCCTCGGCCCTGTCTTCTCCCTGGGGCGCCTCCACAGGGACAATGCAGTGGGCACCCCGGGCAGGCGGCTGGGTGGGAAGACGCTCTCTCGGCGGGAAGCACAGGCCAGGTGGCTCAGGCACTGCCCACCACCTTGCCCAGCCCCCAGCTGCAGGATGAGGCAGGGCACCCCCCCCCAGCCCTGCCCTTACCTCCTGGGCCTGGGCTTCCGGAGCACCTGGGTGGACAGGGGCCCACACTGGATTGCTGTGCCCATTTTCTAGATGCCAAGTCTGGGGATGCTCAGAGAGGGGGAGCAGAGGGCCCTACCCCCAGCCCACCTCCCCCTCAACTCAGCCCAACTCATAGATGGCTTCCCCAGCTGCCTCCTGGTTGCCATGGGGTCAGAGGAGGAGAAAGGGGAGGAGGAGGGAGGGGGAGAAGGAGAGGGAGGAGGAGGATGAGGAGGATGAGGAGGAGGAGAAGGAGGAGGAGGAGGAGGAATCCCAAAACATATAGCAGTTGGCCCCTTCCTCACTCCCTCTCTCCAATATCAAAGCATCCATTTGTGCAGCTGGGCCAGGGCCTCTTCCTAGCCTGGAGCAAAAGAGGTCAAGAAGGCAGAGGGTCCAGGGAGTGGGTTATGGGACCCCAACCTCACCCAGCACATTTCCTGGACCTGGCTCCACTGCCCTCCCACAGTTCCCAGACCAGGTGGGCTCTTTCCTGCCTCCCTGCCTTCGCACATGCAGTTCCCTCCACCTGGAATGCCCTTCCTCAGCCTTCATGGCCCAGCCGGCTGCTTTAACTCCACTGGAGAACCTTCCCTGAGTCCCTTGGGGCTCCCCCTGCATCCTAATGAAGTCACAGCCATTTTCTTAATGATGCTCTCACAGGGCTTTGTCTTTGTACCCAGGGCCTGGCACAGACAGGTGCTCAGTAAAGCCTGAAGGAGAGAGGGAGGGAGGGAGGGAGGGAGAGAGAAGAGGGAGGAGTGGGAGCAAAGAGACACCTCTCCTAGAATTGCAGAGGATCTGGACCTTGAGCTCCTGGCACAGGCCTGGGCATGGAACATAGCCCACTCCCTTCCTGCTGCCTCCACTCCAGCCTGGGCTCCAGCACCTTCTGCCTCAGCCTATTGGGAGCCGGCTTAGAGGCAGTGTCCACACCCGCAGGCCTGAGTCTGTTGCCCATTTGGAGGCAAGGTGCACTCTTATTTCTGAGTGGAGCACCTGGCAGGATGTTCCTGCAGCGTGTGGAGGAGAGAGCAGAGGGCTCCAGTCCTAGACGCTGCGGACAAGTCCTGGCCACCACGCCCCAGGTGTGCCCTGAAGGGACCTCTGGTAATACAGCCACGTCGCCACAGTCACAGATGCACAGAGGGCCCTGGAGCCTCCTGGGTTTGTGAGAAGGGGCCCACACACATCAGCTGCAGAGACCATCCTGCTTCCTAATCCAGCTGTGCTCCTTCCCAGCTGAGGAAAGCTCTGAGGCCTGGTTCTGACCTGAGAAATGGGAATGATGGGCTGGGCTGGCTCCCAGTGGACACACGCTAGTGAGGGCTAGTGCGCATCCGGGGGTGGGCAGGTGAACGGGGGGGGGGGGGGGGGGCGCTGATCAGCTGGAATTGGGCACCTGAACAGGGGGGCTGGTTTTGTGATCAGCAGGAAGTGGGCAGGTGAACATCGGGGCAAAGGCTAATGAGCAGCCGGAGTGAGCAGGTGAACAGGGGGCCTGGGGCTTGTGATCTGCATCATATTGGAAGGACCTCCATTGAACAAGGAAAGGATTTCTGGCCAAATAAGGGAACAAAAGAAACCAAAGAATAAAGAAAAATGGGGGATACCTGAAGATATAAACCTAGTTCTGCCATAGGCTACTAGGTGAGAGGAGTGACAGCTTTGGTCCTGCAGTCCCCACCTTAAGCAACACCAATTATTGCAACTTGGAGAGGAAGGAGAACACATGAGGGAAAGCTGTTCAGTTATCTAAGTCAAGAGGGGGAAATGGAGGACCAAAGATGTGCAGAGACTTCTCTAACATCGCACGATGGGAATGAAACAGAGATATCACTGATCCAAGAAAAAGACCTGGTTCTCTGCATTGCAATGCCCACCCTATAATTTTCCCAAGCTCCCTCTGAGTTTGGGGATGGAGCATTCAATTGGGTGGGAGACACACTCATATGGGCCTCCAGAGCCAGTCTATGTACCTGTCTTGGCTGTAGAAACTGAAGCAGCCTGGAACTCAGTTCCCGTTCCTCTCTGGGAGAGACGTTCATCGTCTAGGGCCAGATCTGTTCATTTAGGGACCCATCCAGTGACCAAGCAAGGGACCAAGGGACCTGGCGGTAGCCACACTGATGATATGCCAGGAACCAAGCTAAGTGCTTTCTATACAGTATCTCGTTTAATATTCCCAACACTATATCTTACAAATGAGGAAGTTGGTCAGGAAGATAAATTACTTGCCCCAAATAGTCAAATGGCAAGGAATGAAGTTGGCGTCTGAATCAAAGTCCAACTGTAGCGCCCATGTTCTTTCTTAATCAGTTTGCTTTCATTAACATTCAGCTTGGCCATGACCACCCGCCCCTGCTTACCTCCCTTTCTCATAAAACCCCCTGGACTTTTCCATATATTAATAGATGAGAGATCTTCTGGGCTTGCCTGCCTCTGCCTTTTCAGGTTCACATATTGGAGGTTCTTTTTTTAATATATATATATATATATATATATATATATATATATATATATATATATATATATATATAGAGAGAGAGAGAGAGAGAGAGAGAGAGACTTTTTGAGTCAAAGGAAGAGGGAAGCAGAAAAACATTGATGTGAGAGGGGAACATCAGCTGCCTCCTGCCTGCCTCTTATGGAAGTTTGAGCCCACAACCCAGGCATGTGCCTGACCGGGAATACTTACAAAGCCTCAGACACTTCTGTTGGGGTCTATCACCAAGGAAGTGGGGGCATCTCTCAAGGTCCATTACCTGGGCTCCTTCTTCCAATCAGAGCCACCCAAAGCACCCTGTGGGCTGCTGACTGCTCACCCTCTTTGCCCAGGTCATCTCCACACCCAACACCAATATCCAGCATAGCTCCCTGGGAATGTACCATTTCCCAGCCTTTAGGAGAGTGCGGAGTTCAGACCTCCTTTTTCCTTACCAGTCTGTGTCCTAGAAAAGCCTTTGTGCCTCTCAGGGCCTCCAAAGTCTCCCCACCTGCTCAATGAGGACCATGCTGACACCACTGGGTGTAGAGGAGATGATACCTGTAACGCCTGTGAGTACTGAGAAGGCCATGGGAAAGGGGGACAGGAAAGCGGTGACAGAGGAGGACAGAGGATGGGGGCATAGAGAGGAAGAAAGAGGAGAGTGGGGGATAAAAGGGGAAATAGAGAAGAGAAAGGGGGAGCCAGACAGAGGGAGAGTCGGGGATGGGTGGGGAGAGAAATGGAGGGAGAGAAGGATAAGAAGAGGGGGAAATGGGAAAGAGTGAGTAGAGAGAAGAGGGGGGAAGAGAGAGGGATAGAGTAAGGGAATAGAGGGGGGAATAGGAAAGAGGAAAAGAGAATAGAGAGAGGAAGAGGAGAGATGGAGCTCTATCTCTAAAATACACAGGAAACTGATCTTGGTCTCATCCTCAGAAAACAACTGGTTGGCTGGGGTTGTGGGGAGGAAGTCAGGGTGAAAGATGCTTTTCATTTTACCTTTTAAATTTTGACCCAATCTATTGTTTATGCCAAACATGATTTGACTTAAAACAAAGGACCCTGCCTTTGCATCTTCTTTTTCTGTGGCCACAAGCTAGTAGCCTGGCGGAGCTGGTCTGTAAGTGGGGGCTGTCACCTCTCGGGGTTGACTATGGAGCCAGGAGCTCTCACCAGGGAACCTCCCGGCCCTGCATCTGGAGCACAGTCGGTGCTGCTGTTGCTATGGGAACACCCAGCACTGATTCGGAGACCTCAGAAGCACCCCATCATCCCTGAGCCTCAGGTTCCCTCCCATCCTCCTCGAGAATAACCACCAACCCAGACCGGACGAGCCCTGTAACTGTGCTCATGCTTCAGAGTCGATCCCTCTCTGGACTTGGTGCCTGGATGATCTGGTTGCCCCCCATCCCACCTTAACCCAGAATGGGGGGGGGGGGCAGGGGGCAGGGACAGAATGATAAGAACGGAAGCCATGGTCCCAGCGGTGCTGGAAGTGGTCACTTTATTGGTTGGAAAGAGAAGCTGTGGTCAGCACGGGAGGGAGAGCAGAGGCCAGAAAGAAGGGAGGGCAGCTGGGCTGGAGCCAGACGGAGCCAGGTAGAAACTCCCACTCCCTCATTCCTCAGGCTGTGGTGGCTGAAACTGGAGGGAGAGAATCACAATAAAACCGACCATCAACAACAACATCCACAATACCAGGCGAGTTACTGCAGCTTCAGTTCTGGACCAAAGCTCTCCTCACGCCACCATTACCCGTCCCTCCCCATCACCTCCCCGGCCCCCCCCGCCCCCCCTCCACACACACACACACACACACACACACACACACACACACACACACACACGCACTTCACCTGGGGCTCTGCCTGTACTTCTCTGCGGGTCCTACCCTCACCTCTTCTGCTGCAAACCATCCTCAGACACACATGACCTTCCTGAGGAGCCACGGTCATTTGTCTCCCTGAGTCCCTCTGCCACCAGGAGGCTCCACCTTGCCTCCCTTCTTTGGGTTCATCAGACTAATATTCATCCCATTTTATAAGTAAAATACTGGCAGCTGAGAGGCTAGTTAAGTGTTGGAGCTGAAAGTTGAACCTGTGTCTTCCTCACTAAAGCCTGGCCATGCTATTGGCACTCCAGGAGGGAAGAGGGGGCTGGAGTCAGTGAGTGCTCTGGGCTCTGGGCAGACCATGGTTCCCTCTCCCGCACTGAAGGTCACGCCTCGAAGTAGCAGCCAGGGGACCTTGGGCTCGTCCATCCCCTTCTCTGGGTTCCACTGTGACCCCCAGGCCCTTGGCTGAGAGCCTGTCTGAAGCAGCAGCAGATCCACAATGAGATTTCCACCAAAGGGCGCTTTCTGGTTCTTGCTTATTCTGTGTCCTCTGCCTCCTCCCTGCCCTGCATCAGGCTGCCCACCTCCCCCTCGCCCTTCAGGACTGGCTTGGAGTCACCTCCTCTGGGAATTGTGCTCAATCCTCTTCCCAGTCCTACCCGGGTGAGGTTTTCCCCCTGTTCCCGCCCCACCCCGCCCTTCGCTCCACAGCAGCACTGGGAGTGTCCGTCCATCTGTCCACCCCAGCCAAGCAGCTGCAAGCTCGGTGAGGAAGGGCAGCTGTTACCTTCTGCCCGGCACCTGGCACAGAGCTGGTGGCGCGGGCCGGCTCACCCAATCAGCTGGCTGAGCACGAGGGCTTCGCGTTTTGTTTTGCGTCACTTCCTCGCGTTTACTTTAGGACTTAATGTTTTATTTTTAGTTTTGCGTGGGGACAGAGAGGCTCCGCAGCCCTTTCCTTTGAGAGGCGGCCGGATACGGCCCCACCTGCTCCAGAGGGCCCAACACACACAGACACACATTGGAGGAAGTACACTGATCTCTTCCATGTGCGAACTAAAAAAAACAACAAAAACCCGAGCTTCTTGGCAAAAGTACCAACTCTCCTGCTTCCCACTGGCCATGCCAAGAGCTTCCTACCTCCCCAGGGGCTCCTGAGATCCAGCTGCTCCTCCAGCTGTTGACTTACATGCTGTGTTAAGGAAATGACGGAGAAAATCTCTTGCCCTCACAGCTCAGTTCATCAGCGGATACTGTCCCATCTACCTTCACAGATGCCCAAGCCCAGCCATTGTCTCTCCTGGTCTGTCATCTCCCACCTGGCATCTTGCAGGAGCCTCCTAGGGCTCTCTCCCCCTTGCTCCCGCTGCTGCCCCTAGAGTGCTCTCCACGCGGCAGCCAGAGCAAGCCTGTTCAAATCTCAGTCAGAGCACGCCCATTCCCAATGGCCCAGCATGTTAGGTCAAGACCAAAGTGCTTACGATGGCTCGTCAGGCCCCTAGCAAGCTGCTCACTTACCCGTTCTCTCTCTGACCCTCTTCTCCCCACACTGCTTCCAGCACGACCCCTGCCTTCACACCGCTGCTGGAGCACTCTTCCAGGTGTCCTCATGGCTCCCCCACCCCTGGCTGTCGGGCGTAAGAAAATATAACCCTGCTCCCTGCTCACCCCACTCCCATCCCAGTGCTCCTCCGCATCCCCCTTCGCTTTCCTTTTCCTCCCTGGCCCTCATCTCGCTCTGACATTCTACAGAATGTGTTTGCTTATTTTGATTATTGTCTGCGAGCTTATAAACCCCATCGGAGAGGAATTTATGTCTGGTTTGGTCATCCATAAAGAATCCTCAGCACCACCAGCAGAACAGAGCACATAACAGATGCTTAAGAAACATCTGATGAGCTGAAACCGATTTGGCTCCATGGATAGAGCTTCGGCCTGTGGACTGAAGGGTCCCGGGTTCGATTCCGGTCAAGGACATGTACTTTGGTTGTGGGCACATCCCCAGTAGGGGGTGTGCAGGAGGCAGCTGATCGATGTTTCTAACTCTCCTCTCCCTTCTTCTCTGTAGAAACATCTGTTGTGTGGATGAAAGCTGGTTCCCCTGGCTCCTCCTTCTCCACCCCCTGCAGGTGCCATCACTTAAGGGCACTTCCTCCCTCCCGTCCACGTACCTCAGAAGACGGGTGAGACACAGGACACCTTCCCGCAGCCATTGAGGCAGCATTTCATCTGGTCCGGGCACTCGCTGTCCACCTGGCACTGGTCCCGGCAGAGGCCGAGTGGGGTCAATGGTGAGTCCACCTTGGGGCAGGAGCCAGGCTTTTCTTCATAGAAAAAGGAGTAAGGGGAAGTGGGCAGAGGGATGTGCCAGGAGATTAACACTTACCCACAGCCTGACCCCTCCTACCTCCCCCTCAGGCTCCCTCGCCATTGGTTTCAGAATCGCAGGACCTCAGAGTCCCAGCTCTGCCTTTCCCTAACTTGTAGCTTCGGGCCAGAAACTCCCCAGAGGCCCACACAGAGCTGCCCACATCATGGGTTGCTGTGAAAGCAACTGGGGCAAGATATACCTGGTTAATTCTCTCTGAAAAGGCAAACTCCTTTGCAACAACAATAATTGTAAGGAGTCACTAGAACAGCTGATGTTTTCTTAGCTCCTTCTGTGTGTCGGGTGTCACTCTAAGCATGTACGGGCAGTAACTCGTGTAGTGACTCGCTAATCCCCACAACAGCCCTAGAAGAGGCGTTACTATTCCCTCACGTCACAGGTGAGAAAATAAGGGTAGAAGCAGGATTTGAAAGCCAGGAGTCTGGCTCCAGTGTCTGTGTGCCCTGCACTGCGCTGCTCTGTAAATTCTAAGTGCCGTCACAATCTCTTTACTCGCTCCCATATGCCTGGCATACACTCCATAACTCCCCCACGCACACTCCTCATCCACACACGCCAAGCATTCTCCATCACACACACACACACACACACACACACACACACAGATAGCCACTTAGAATGTTCTTTGTGTAAAGTAAATGCACTATCTTCCTTCATCCTCATGTCAAATATCTCCTCTGAAGGGGACGTTTCTAACCACGTTCTTATCACAGATGAAGAGAATGAGGCACAGAGATGAGAAGGCACAGCTCATCACCACCCTGCTGGTCACAAGTAAAACCAAGGCCTGAGCCGAGCCTTCCAATATCATTGTTCTCTCTCCCTCTCTCTCTCTCTCTCTCTCTCTCTCTCTCTCTCTCTCTCTCTCTCTCTCACACACACACACACACACACACACACACCCTACGCTCCATTTCCTGGGTCAAGGAGAAGGGAGCTCGGCTCCCTTCCAGAAGCCTCAGGAGCGAGCCCAGCCAAACATCACCACAGGCACAGGCCTGGGTGCGGACGACAGCGCTGACTTCCTAGCACAGAGAAACCCGTTCCTTTGGAAAAGGCTGGGGCTCTGGGTACCCAGCTGCCCAGCAGTTTACTGACAAAACAAGGCCCTGTGTACAGAGTATCTACTCTCTAATAAGGCATTTTACACGTATTACTTAATTTAGCCTTCATGTCACTCCTATAAAATTTTAGCGCGACATGAGAACACAGGCTTGGAGGGGAAGTGACTTGCTCAGGATCACTCAGCTAGCAGGGGCGGAATCAGGATTCTAATTCAGGAGCCCCCCTCCCCCACCCCCAGCCCGAAGCCCTCTGCCTGCCTCAGTCTGTCCATCTCAGGCTCCGCCTAACAACAGAGACTCCTTGTTGGGGGGAAGGGGTGGCATCCACCTCTCTCACCTATGGTTCTGCCTCTGGCTTCCTCTCCTGGTCTCCAGCTCTCCTTCTGCTCCTCCTCCCTCGGGCCTGGATTGAAGCCTCCAGACCCAGAAGCTGCCCCACGGGCCAGTCCTTTCTCTGCCTCCCACCTCCCTGGTGGTAAGTGTCTGAGGTCTCTAACTACAGAACTTCCCAGCCCCTGCTGGCACCTTTGGAGAAGTCACCAAGTATTCTGGATCAGGATTGGTAATCACAGCAGGGGGTACCCAGGCGAGGGCCCTGCTTCTAGAGCTCAGCTTTCCCGGCGAAAACCCAGAAGCTTGGGTTCCATGTAGCCTAATGCCACTCCTGCTCCGATGGAGTTCCTGGCCTTTCTCAAATTCTCTCCCTCCATCCCTACAGCGGAGGAGGACGTTTTGAAGAGGAGGAAGCGGGAGGCGTGCTCAGGGAGGAGTCCCAACTATCTTCAAACCAGGGGAGCAAAAGGTGAGCCCCATGGCTATGCCTGCTGCTGAGGCAAGGCTGGCGGTGTGAGCCGGGCGAGAACTTGGTCCTTCCTGGCTCTGAGAGACTGCCTCCGGCCTGGAGAGCCATCCGGGAAGGCTCCAGGCTGGGGGCCCTGCAGGGAGGAGCGCCACAGGCCTGGGAACCGGCTCGCTGGCCAGCTCCGAACAACGTCCCTGCTGTGCGTGCCCGGAAGGCCGTCACGCACCAGAGACTGGAGTGCATGCAGGGGGAGGGGGGGCACACCCCGTCCTGCGTCCCGCCTTTGTTCCCCCAGGGTCAAGAGGAGCGAGCACAGCCGATCTGGTTCCATCCGCCTGGGGCTGCCAGGGGTCCCCGGGCCCGGAGCGCCCCCCCTGGAACCGGCCGCCCCGCCCGCCCCGGGGCCCGGCGTTACCGTTCGGCGCCCGGCAGACGGCGGCGCAGCCCGCGCGGCAGCACTTGCTGACGTCGGGGCAATCGGCATCCGAGCTGCACTCCTGCGTGCAGTTGAGCTCCTCCTTCAGCTCGGGGCACACTCCCGCCTTCTCCTCCGCCTCTGCGCCCGGGAGGGACGTGAGGACGGTCACGGGGAGCCCGGAGCCGGGCCCGGAGAGCGCCCGCCTCCTGCTCCGGGGACCCCAAGTCTCAGGCTTCCAGGAATTCTCAGCCTCTGGCCCCAGGCACTCCCCTCGCAGCCTTCAGCATATCCCACTTCCAAGCCAGGGTCCCCGCACCGGAGAGTGCAGGGGTTACCGAAGCCTTGGCCCCAGAGCCCGCTATCCTCAGGGGACCCCCCCCCATAATCAGGGGGGACCCCCCCCCCGGCTGACAGTCTAAGAGCCCCCGGTGTCTAGGCAGAGGGTCCCCTCCAGCCTCTCCCCTGGCCCCACAGCCCAAACTACAAGGGTCGCCCCCGTAAGCACCAGGGATCCCCCATTGCTCTTCATGGGCCTCCCCACTTCCGCCCAGAACCCCTGCTTCTCCAGCCCGCGAGGAGGCTGCGCCTCTGCGGCTCCGGGCCTCCGGCGCCGGCCCCCGCCCTCACCTGTGACCGCGGCGAAGCGGAGCAGCAGGCCCAGGAGGAGGGCGGCGAGCGGGGCGGCGCGGCGGGCGGTCATGGTGCTGCGCCCGGCGGGTAGAGCCGCGGCCCGGGTTGGGGGGATTTAAGGGCGCGGGGGGCAGGGCGGGGCCGCCGGCGTGGGGGAGCCGCTCCGCAGCGCGGGCGGGCGGCCGCCTCCTGCGGTTTCACAATCCCCCGGGATCAGGTGTCGCTCTTGGCCCCGGTGGGAACCAGGAACCTAATCAGCTTCCAGGCAGGCCAGGCTGACCAGCTGCAGCCGGACCCTGTCCTCTCCCCTCCCCCTCCTACCTCCGGGGCCTGGGGGGCGGGGCCGGAGAGGAAAGGGCCCGGCCCGAGACTCCCGGTTCCCGTTCCAAGACCCTGGGTCTCCCCTTAAAGCTCAGAATGTGTGTGTGTAGGGGGGGGGGGGGGGGCGACCACAAAGACACTGTATGGCCTGGGGATTAAGTGGTTGGATTTGGGGTCAGGGATTAGTGATGAGCTCTAGTGTAGGATAGAGAGCACACAGGAAGAGCTAAGGAAAAAGCAATTGTTATGAATAAATGAACCCATTTGACAGAAGGAACGGAGGCCCACAGGGTGACCCGCCTATTCAGAGGTGAACTGTCTCCAGCAGTTCGGGCTGTTTCTTCCTCTTTCCCACACCAGCCATGGAGCCGCTGCCTGGGCCAGGCTCTGTGCTCACTGTTTCGCGGGGTCCCAGCAAACCTGTGACTGGAGAGCTATGATTGTCATCGGCTGTGTGTGACGGACGAACTGGGTTAGGCCCTCCCCGAAAGCTCCCATGTGGTGCTGTAGAAACAAGGTTTTGAGTCCAGGTCTCCTTCTGTGCGAGCCCTCCTTTCCCCCCATTCCGTCATAAACGCTCTCCAGGTGCCCACTGTGTGACACATGCGGCCAGACACTTGTTGTAGAGAAAGGGATCAAGGGAAACGTTCTGCATTGGCCTTGAGGCGGGCCGGTCTAGGTTTGACAACATTCCCCATTTTTCAGCTGAGGGACCTTGGGTGAAGCACTGCCTTGTTCTGAGCTGCCATTTTGTCTTCTACGGATATGTCTGTAACATCAGAGTGCAACGAGAAGGTGAGCGTGATGTTCCTGACACGGGGCCACCGTGTAGTCATTGAGGGCTAGATCCCCGTGATGGGCATAGATACCCACCCCTGATACACAATGGGTAAGTGGTATCTACTGTGACTAAAGGACACTAGTAAGTATATACCAAGCTTTAGAATATGCCAAGCAAATGCCAAGACAGAGTTACCCTGGGAGTTCGACAAGAAGTACCTTCCAGCCAAAACCGGTTTGGCTCAGTAGGGTAGAGCATCAGCCTGCAGACTGAAAGGTCCCAGGTTCAATTCCAGTCAAGGGCATGTGCCTTGGTTGCGGGCATGTCCCCAGTGGGGGGTGTGCGGCAGGCATCTGATCAATATTTCTCATCGATGTTTCTAACTCTCTATCCCTCTCTCTTCCTCTCTGTAAAAAAAATCAATAATATATATATATATATATATATATATATATATATATATATATACCTTCCAATATCCCTACTCCAACAATCTGAGATTCTTTAAGTCCCAGGAGGCTTTGCTGCTGAAGGCTAAAGGGGGTCTGGGGCTGTAGCCACTGGGATGACAGGTGAGTAGGGCTCACTTCCAGCCACTGTCCCCTCAGATGGATAAGGCTGAGAATGCCTCCCCCAATCCCCAACTGCCCTGCCAGCCTTGGGACTAGAAACATGCCTTCATTGGGAGGGGCAAGGACTATTTACTCTGAGTTCAGAGAAGTCAACAGCAATGAAGCAGGAGCCAGGTGGGGGCACCCGCTGGGTGAGCTCCTGAAACTCCGTCTAAGGGACATAGAGGACTCTGGTGAGCAGCCGGTTTTAGCCAGTGGGGCCAGGTGGCTACTGGGCATTTCAGCCTTAGGCACTGCTGCCACAGCTTTTGTTGGGCACCTACCCAGCTCCTTGAGCCAGGAAACTGCCCAGCCTCACGGCTCCCCAGCTCTCATGGGCTCCCCCTACCTCCCCAAGATTGACTCCCTTTTACAGGAATGAGGATTAGCCTGAGGCTGAAGGGATAGGGTGGGGCAGAGGATGGAGAAGAAATTCTCATCAGTCAATGGCCAGTGGCATGCAAAAGATGTTTCACTTTTGTGATGCTAGTCTCTGTGCTAGGGACATCCATATATTTTCTATATTTTCTCTTCTACATAAAAAGTAAAAAAGGACAGAGGTTTTAGAACCAAATACATTTAGGGCCAAGTCAGAGGCTGGCCACTTCCTGGCTATTAACTTGAGTGACACTTTGTTTTTTGGATCTACATCTTCTTCCTACATCTTATTTTAAGGATTAAAGGCGAAAAACATAAACCAGAGGTTGCAAATCTGGCTAAACCATGTCTGTTGTTATCCCACACTATATATTTTTAACATTTGAATTCATAGCCAAGACTTGAAAGCAGGAGATTTCACATAAAAATAAATGTCTAGCTTCTCTTAGAAAAAGTAGAAGACCTGGTGACATAGTCTTACAGTCCTATGTCTCAGTAAGTGGGTCTCAAATTTAAACGACTATCAGAACCACTTGGAAAGCTTGTTAAAACACAGATTTGGAGATCTTCACCCATAGAGTTTTGATTTTAGGTCTGGGATGTGAGGAGTAGGGTAAAGAAATAAAATGGAGTCAAGCTGCTATATTACCAAAATCAAGTAGGCTGAGATACGAGAAAACTACTCCATTCTTGCTTTAATGAGCCTGGGAATGTAAACTTTTGAACTTTCCAGTCATGCATCAATGCCTGGTTATATATCAAACCTCCAGATAGCCCTCTGATGGACTCACGTATGCAGACCACTTGGCATCCATTGAACAGATCACTGGGCATGACCAGGCACCGCCTGGCATCTAGCCAAGGACTATTGTGAATCAGTCTAGGACTGGAGGACTGATTATTCCCAGAATGTACTTTTTACTATAAGAACTCTTAACTTTTCTTTCTTCTTCGGAACGCTTCTGCGTCTTTTCCTAGTTATGTTTCCAGTTTGTAAACCCCAAGACTCTTGAATAAATCTTTATCATTTATTTCTAGCAAAGCCTTCAGACTATTTTTTACTTGGACAGGTGGATCTGTCCAGCTGGTTCACTTTATGAGGGGGACTTCTTTCCACTTTCCTGTATTCTCCACTATTCCTTATTGTCTCACGTACCCTCACCCTCACTCTAGCTACTTCCATTCACATTACTTGCCTGGTCTGGAGGATGTTTAAATTGTGACCTCTGGGGAAGTTGAATAGTAAGTACTCAGTTAAAGGTAGCTAATATTTACTTAACAGTCTTATGTATTAAGTATTGTTATTTCTGTACTAGAGGCCCGATGCACGTCCAGTCTAATTAGCATATTATGCTTTTATTATTATAGATTACAAGTGAAGAAACTGGAATTCAGTTATGAAAGTGAGGAAACACAGCCAGTAAACCAGAAGGAAGCATGCCAAATGCTTGTAGTCATGTGGTCACAATGATTTCAATATTACATACACACATCTGAGCTTAGCATAGATGATGCATCAAAGATTTTTGGACATGACTTCATGACCATAAAATAATATTTATCAGGGAAGAAAAGGAGGAAAGGAAATAAGAAGGCAAGAAAGGTTTACAATGGAAGGTGATATTAGTCAGATATAGGCACACCCACTCTAAGATGACTATAAACAAGTTAACCTTGAAGATTTCAAAAATTCCCAGGAACAGAGTGTCTTTAACTGTACAATGGGGCCTCTTCCTCTTGGGCCATTGGATCCACACAAACTTCCTTTTCTCCACAGAAAACTCTCTCTCTGAGCATATTGGCTATTTTGTTGTTTTGTTTCTTAGCATCTGTTTGTCCTTTTTCTGATTGCAGTACTCTTCCTCTACCCAGGACAGGCGAGGCTGCAGGACGTGGTGATCAAAGTGCTTGCCCTATCACCGGACAAAGACTGGCCAAACAGATGCTCTCCCTGGATTTTTAACCTTGAGCAATGAATGACTAAAGACCTCAACTGTACTTCACTCATTCAGAGGTGCCCTAGGAAGACTCCGTTTTGCCCTCCAACTCTGCTAGTTGCAAGATGAAGAATCCAACAGAGGCTAACTTTAAAAAAAACAAAACAAAACATATTTTATTGATTTTTTACAGAGAGGAAGGGAGAGAGATAGAGAGCCAGAAACATCAATGAGAGAGAGTCATCGATCAGCTGCCTCCTGCACACCCCCCACTGGAGACGTGCCCACAACCAAGGTACATGCCCTTGACCAGAATCAAACCCAGGACCCTTCAGTCCACAGGCTGACGCTCAATCCACTGAGCCAAACCGGTTTCCGCAAAAGGCTAACTTAAGGAAGGGAGAATAGATTCCCACACCATTCTCACAAATTCCTTTTCTGCTGATAGTACCATAATTAGTTTCTGTTGCTAGCAATCAATGAGATCTAACTGTCTATACCCAGGTCACCACCAAGTTTCTCATTTCCAAATCCAACGGCCTTTTATCAGCCGTCACCCCACACCTCAACTCACAGTTAAGGCCTTCATGACATAAGCAAAATTCTTTATACAAAAATTATTTTCCCACATAATTTCAGTGAAAAAAAAAAAAAAAAACCACAAAACAACAACAACAAAAAAACCAACACAGAACATTAAAAGCAGAGCTTCTCTGTTTGAAGGACCTGAATCCCCTTTGTGGCCTCTTGGGTTTTGAGGGCACAGCTTTCAAACCTCTTTTAGAGGACAGTCTTTGGCATCAAAGGGTCTTGAATTTTATTCCTAACTCCTTCCATTATTGGTTTTGTGACCTCGGAGAAGAGATTACAGCACTGAGCTTCAATTTTTTGGTCTTTAAAATGAAAATAAAACCTCCCAGAGTCGTTGTGAGGTTTCAAGATGAAGATCCATGTGCACCTGTCACATAGTATGTGCTAAGCAAGTGATGCTGGGTATGGTTCTGTCCTATTACACCACACTCAGAGATTACCTCTCTCAGAG